GTTGAGACTCGGGTGCTTATGTGTTGGGAGGGCGGGTGGGAATGAGCGAGATGGTTTCTTGCTTGTGGGTAGCTTGATCACTGTTCCTTACTAATATACAACCCCTCCCCATCCGGCCGGCGGCCAACCCGTAACCATGCCAACCTCATGAGGGCCACCCCCCCATCATCCTTGTCAAAACACAATACAAAACGCACTCTGCCTCCACATTTGGAGCATGCGCGGCCAACCCGATGCGCCCCCCCCCACCATCCCTGTCAAAAAAAGATACAACGTACACTTTGGGGCAAAGTCTTGAATGATGTTCGTGAGGCCCGCCAAGACTTCGTTTTGTTTTGACAGGGACGGCGGGGGTGTCAGCATATCCCCTGCTGCGCGCATGGTAACCATTCCTGACAAACAAGAAATACAAAATGCACCTCGCGGCAAAATCTGGATCATGTGCGGCCACTCTGCGATCACTTCCAAGTGGTGTTTGACAGGGATGCCGGGAGTGGTGGCGAGTGGCCTGCTGTGCGCAGGCCCACCAGACAGAATGATGGGAATTGGTTTTCGACAAGGATGGTAGGGCCGACATATTTTCCGATGTGTGCTGTCACGTGCGCAGGCGCACCTGACACACTCTGCACGTGCCCCGAACGTGGCACAACTGGCGCGGCTGGAGTGTGCGGCACACCTGGCGCACCCGGAGCCAGTGGCGCATCTGGCGCACCAGGCGTGCATGGCACGCTCGGGCCCCAGGGGTGGTGCCTGGCGCGCGTAGCGCCCCTGGCACGCGTGGCGCAACTCGCCCAAGCGTCGCGCACCTGGGGTCGGCTTTGGTTCCCAGTATTTAGCTGTCCATCCAAAGACGACCGATGAACATGATCAGGCTCGGGTGTTACTTATGTGTTGGGAGGGCGGGTGGGAGTGAGCTAGACGGCTTGCGGGCGGGTGGGTAGCTTGACCTCTCCCCCTACCCCCTCCCCTGAGCCTGGACGGAGGAGGGGCCGAGGTGTCGGATGGTCCGTTCTGGTCCAAGATAGCTCCAAGAACGCCCCAAATGCTGCAAGATGCCCTCCAAGATGAATCAAAACACCTCAAGATGGCCCAGGATAGCTTCCGACATTCCCCCAAGAGGCTCCAAGGCCGCTCGAAGACGGACCCAAATGCTCACCGAGCCTTCTGAGGCACCCACCCAGAGACACAAACCCGTCAAAACATGAAAATCCATGTATGGTATATTTTGGTATTGTGGTTTTCTGACTTCCGATGAGATGGCCCAAGGGAGCCCCAAGTGGGGCCCAAGAGAGCCCCAAGACAGCCTCAAGCCTCAAGAGCGCCCCAACAGCGCCCCAAGAGTGCTTCAAGGGGCAACGCGTTGGGCTTCCGAGGGGGGGGCAGGGGCAGAATGTAGGACCTGCCTTGTTTCGGAAAATGGAACCCCAGATTGCCCCACGGGGACTCCTGGGCGCCCCCAAAGAGCCCTCAGAGGGCACGAAAAAGGCCTCAAGAGAGCCAAGAAGGCTTCCCATACGGTTCCGAGATTGTTCCGAGAGGCCTCCAACAAGCTTCCAAGAGGCTCGCGGATCGAAAGCTCCGCGAATGCTTTATGGTTGACTCGTCGTTGTCGTCGTTGCTTTCATCATCGTGTCCTTCTTTCCCCGGCATCGTTAAACTGGTGTTTCTTTTTCTTCCTCTCCTCCTCCTCCTCCTCCTCTTCCGCCTCCTCCTCCCGTTGTCTGTTCCTCATTCCTGCTCCGAATGTCAAAATGCAACTTCCCCCGCCCGACAGGGTCCCAAGACAACCCCCAGAAAAACCCAATGAAGCCGCCATGATGGGAACAAATATTAACTCATTCGACATATATTCCCACCGCTTCTGCGCCCCCGACACGTTTCCAAGGCGGCTGCTCCACTGCATGTTTCCGCACTTCCCTGATCAAACAATGGGCTGGTGGGGATCCCCGACACGGTACGAATGTTTCGACGGTTCGCACGTCTCATCGAGACGACGACATCCGCGCGCCCGCCCCACCCCCTGCGCGGGCCGCCCAGCTGGCCGGAGGGCCCCGTGCGACGGCCGCCCCGCCTGCCCCCGCTCGAGCCGAGCCCGCTGCGAGGTGGTGTTGCCGCCGCAATCGTCGAGGGTGGAAAGGACGAGGAGGAGGAGGAGGAGGAGGAGGAGGAGGAGGAGGAGGAGGAGGAGGAGGAGGAGGAGGAGGAGGAGGAGGAGGAGGAGGGAGGAGGAGGAGGAGGACGTTGAGGGGGCGGAGAAGAAAAAAGGAGGAGGAGGAGGAGGAAGAGGAAGGGAAAGGGAAGGACGACGAGGAGGAGGAGCAGGAGGGGGAGGAGGGGGGGACCAGCGCACAGCTTCGGATGATGTCAGAGATCCACCGCGCCCCAGCGCGGAGACAGAGGCCTGGGCCTCCGAGCTCTTCAGGAGGATGAAGCAGCCCCCGCAGCAGAGCTTGATGTTGCTGCCAGATCCCTGAGAGTCTGGCGGTAAAATTGGGCCAGGGGGACTGGGGGTTTGAAAACAACAGGTGAATTCTTCCCCCCTTTCGGGTGTCTTAAACTGAGAACCTTTGAGAGACGGTCGGCGGCACCTGTACTCTGCGGCCCTTGACGTAAACACACCGAATTTAACCCCCTGCCTTGCTCCATATAAGAGCCGCAATCTTTGCAGAAGGAGGAGGAGGAGGAGGAAACGGATGGGACGGGGGAAAAAAAGGCGGAGGAGGACGGGGACGAAAGGGAGAAAACCAGTGCAAATCCAAAACGCATCATCAATGATATAATAAACCACAGATTCAAATTGGTTGCCCGTTGTCATATGAAACAAATGGTTAACATCGCGGGTAATGCCGCATTGGAAGACAAACGTATGAAAACCATCGATCGTGCCAAAACGCCGCCCGTGGGATTTCCACGCCACCGATCAACTTGGCACTGCGTCCTGACAATACTAAATCGTGCGAGAACACCGTTCTTGGGACCTCAACGCCGCAACAGCGAATCGACCTGACGGCTGCGATTTGATGATCACGAATTGCGCCGGATCGCCATCCCCGGGACCTCAATCGCACGAACCCTGGAACTCATGTGACTCGTAAGGCGAACAGCGCGATTTGAAAACCACCCGCTTCCATCTTCGAAGCTGCCGCAAGTTCTCTAAGCGAGAGCGCGCCACGATAAGGCGAGAAACACATTTTGAAAACCAGCCGCCCTTCGTTCGTGAAACGGTAACAAACACGTGACACGAATGCGCTCGGCGCTGCAACACGAAACACAATTTGAAAACGACCTGCCCCCCATCCATGAAGCTGCTGCAGAAAGCACGACTAATGCGCGCGGCGCTAAAGCGAGAACAACATGTTGAAAATGACCAGGCCACCATCCGTGGAAGTGCTGGAATTGCCGCTGAGTTTCAGGATCATGGAGCGCGAGGACGCCTCAAGCGAAACGCCCAGTCCGCCCGACAGACACGTCTGGAGGAGGAGGAAGAGGAGGAGGAAGAGGAGAAGGAGGAGGAACAGGAGGAACAGGAGGAGCAGGCGGAGGGGGACGGAGCCAACAAAAGGCCACATGCGGGATCCATCCCCCGCGCTCGCCCCTGGCGTGGCCGGCCCAGCGCGCATAGGGCGCTGGCATCGGCCCGCAGCCCGCCACCATGCCACGGCGGCCCGGCGGGCTGCGAGGCCTGGCGAAGGAAAGGGGGGGGAAGGAAGGGGGAGGAATGGGGGAAAGGAACAGGAGGAGAAAAGGAGGAGGGAGGAATGGGAGGAGGGGGGGGCGCGAGGGAGGGAGGGAGGGAAGGGGCAGGAAGGAGGAATTCCAGGAATTCCACCATCACGTAATGAGGAAAACAAGTTGAGCGCAACACCTGGGGAGGAGGGCGGAGGGGGGAGGCAGACAGGGAGGAGGGAAGGAGCGAGGAGGAAGGAGGGAGGAGCCAGGAGGAAGGAGGAAAAGCAAAAGGGGAGGCGGAGGGAGGAGGAAGCAGGAGGGGGGAGAACGAGGGCGGGAAGGAGGGATCGCATGCCTCTGAAGGGAAAAAGCGAGAGAGAGAGAGAGAGAGGTTCGTCCGAACAACATAAGAAAGGACTTCAAAGAGAATATGTCCGTCACCGCGAGGGGGGACTAGACCACCCGCGGGCCAGTTACAGGACCCCCCCCGCGCAGGAGAAAACATCGCCACCTTCTTCAGGTGGGTCCTCAGACGGAAAGACTATCCGAACTCGCGGGCCCCAGCCCGATCCAACCCGAGAACCTAGAGACAATCCGACAAACGGAAAACCAGAGGCAGCCCCCGAAAAACTGGGGGGGCTCGCGGACCAGAGGACTTCGCGGGCCGAGACCCACATTGCGCAACCAGGACACGAAAACCTAATAGCCCAACAACCACGGGCCCAGGAAACATCGCCGCGCCCAGCCTGCGAACCCCGTTTGGGGGGGGGGGCCTGAAACGACGCTAGAAACCTTCTGTCCGAATCCAACGCGCGCTCGAGCGGAGCCTGGGCCATTATCTGACAGCCCTCCAGCACCAGGAGAGACGGTGGCACAGCGTCGACAGGTCACTGAGGAAAGCAACGGGGCCCCCCCCTCCCCTTGCGCGGGGAACTCCCAGAGACAATGACCCCCCACCCTGCAGGGCTCAGCTCCGACTTCGGCGCGCTCCAAAAACTCCCCGAACGAAGCGTCAGCCGCAGCAGCGACCCCCGCGCGGGGGGGGCGGGGCAGCTCGAGGGGCCGCCGGCGCGTCGCCACGGCAACCCCCCCCCCCTCGATGCCAGCGCCGCAACATGGCGGAAGCTCAAACGAGACCTGCGAGAGGTCCTGAGCTCCAACGTTGACGGGCATTTCTGACCCAGTGACGCACTCCGACAGATCGCGCGCAAAGGGCCCGCAACCTTTCGCCTATATGACCTCCGACGGGGCGCGCCTTGCATGACCGGCGCCAGACATTGCCGCGCGGCCAGCCCCGTGGCCGCCAGTCTTTACGAACTCAGACACGCGACCAGTCGAGCGTCTGCCGTCGAAGCGCGGTCGGGGACTTTTCTGGGCGCAGCGCCGCAAAGACCTCCAGCGGCCAAGAAACGCATCCAGAGGCGCGCCTCGCAATGGCGGTGCCGAGAGCGCGCGCGGCTGCCGCGGCGCTGGAGCGACCCTTCGCAGGCCGCGCAAACCAGAAAGAACCCGCGCGCAGCTTCGACGCGATAAAGACAGCAGAGACCTCGCCATCTCGCACCACCAGCGGGGAAGGTGCCACGACGTACTTCTGCCGTTCTGGGGGGCCCAACAAAATCACGCATCAATGGCCCGGGGCGCCGCGGATGCGGCGGGGCCGCTGGGTCAAGGGGGCGCCCCGTTAATTATCTTGACGCGGCATCTCCTCCTCCGCCCGCCCGCCCATCTGCCCTGCTCGCGCCGCTGCTCCGCCTCTTTTCCTCGCGGCCACCCCGCGTCTCATCCTGCCCATGGTCGAAGCGATCGCCGTCCTGCCTGCCCGCGGCGCCCCCCCCGCCGCCCCCCTCGGCCCCCCGCCCTGCCTCGCAGGATGCCGCCGGGTGCCTCTCGAGGCACCCCGTCCGCAGCGGCACGCAAATCGCTCGCCGCGAAAATAGCGATCGAATCTCTCGGGCGCCTGCCCAGCAGGCGGCTCGGCCGCCAGCGCGGCGGCTGCAGTGGGGATGGTCTTAGGCCCGGCCGCGGGAATTCGTCGCTCCAGCGGGCCCCGTGGAAACTGCGCGCCCGTGCGGGCGCGGCCCCGCAGAGAAGTCCCCGGGGAGGCGCCGCGATAGCCGTCGCACCGAAGGCTCGCGCGGTCGACTTGGAGCCCTGCTGGTCAGCCGCCCAACGCCCCCTGGGAGCTGCAAGCGCACCGTCGCGCAAAGGGGCGCGCGTCGCGGCGCGATGAATACGGGGGCGGCCACGGACCGGGGCCATATCGGCGTTCTACATACGCAGCCTTTGCAAAGGCTACGAGTGGCCACGACCCCGGGAACGAGGCCACCTCCTCCTCCTCCTCCTCCTCCTCCTCCTCCTCCTCCTCGCATTCCCCCTCCTCCTCCTCCTCCTCCTCCTCCTCCTCCTCCTCCTCCTCCTCCTCCTCCTCCTCCTCCTCCTCCTCCTCCTCCTCCTCCTCCTCCTCCTCCTTCCTCCTCCTCCTCCCTCCTCCTCCTCTCTCCTCTCCTCCCTCCTCTTCCTCCATTCCTGCTCCTTATAGATAACTCCTCCGTGTCGCACCCCGAGGCCAGTGTTCAGGGCGGGCCGGGCGTCTCGCCCGAGACTTCCTCACCATCTACGACTGTGAAGCTTAAAAAGTGATAACAACTTCACAGATGGAGGGCGGGTCGTTTTCAAAATGTGGCTCTCGCCTTCGTCCCGCGCGCATTCATCTCAAAATGTGCGAGAGCTTCGCGGATTGAGGGCGGGTGGTTTTGAACATGTGGCTCCCGCATTAGCGCCGCGCACATTTCGTTTCGAAATATGAAAGAGCTTCACGGATTGAGGGCGGTCGTTTTCCAAATGTGGCTCTCGCTTTAGCGCGGCGCACACTTTATTAAATAATTGCAAGAGCTTCACGGATTGAGGGCGGGTGGTTTTCAACATGTGGCTCTCGCCTTAGCGCGGCGCACTTTCGTTTTTAAAACTGCAAGAAATTCACGAATTGAGGGCGGTTCCTTTTCAACATGCGGCTCTCGCCTTAGCGCCGCGCAGATTCGTTCTAAACAATGCAAAGGTTTCACGGATTCATTCCCATGATCAACGTACCAAACGTGTTTGGAAGGATCCAGAATTATGCGTGCGCAACAGTTATGTTGATTCGCTGTGTCGAAGTCCCAAAAATGGCGTTACGTCACGATTCTGGATCTTCAACGCGCAGCAGTCAGGTTGATACGTGGCGTTGAAATCCCGAGAACAATGCTGTGGCACGCTTCAGGATCTTCAAACTGTTGTCTTCCAGCGAGGCAGTTCCCTCAATGGAAATGAACTCTTGTAGGGGCCTATGAAGAGGAAGCTTGGAGGGAGGGTTAATTCGAACATCGTTGATGACTCCTGGATTTCCACTGGTCCTCCTCCTCCTCCTCCTCCTCCTCCTCCTCCTCCTCCTCCTCCTCCTGCCCCTCGTCCTCCCAACTCCTCCCCCCTCCTCCCTCCTCCTCCTCCTCCTCCTCCTCCTCCTCCTCCTCCTCCCTCCTCCTCCTCCTCCTGCTCCTGTCCTGTCCTCCCTCCTCCTCCTCGTCCTCCTCCTCCTCCTGCCTCCCTCCTCCTCCTCGTCCTCCTCCCTGCTCCTACCCCTGCCTCCTCCTCCTCCTCTCCTCCTCCTCCTCCTCCTCTTCCGCCCTCCTCCTCCTCCGCCTCCGCCTCCTCCACCTCCTCCTCCTCCTCCTCCTCCTCCTCTTCCTCCTCCATCACTTTTCCTTATAGGTAACTTCTCCCGGTCGCACCCCGAGGCCAGTGTTTAGGGCGGGCATGGCGTTTCGCCTGAGACTTCCTCACCACTTATGACTCTGAAACTTAAAAACTGGCAACAACTTCGCGGATTGAGGGCGGGTCGCTTTCAAAATGTGGCTCTCGCCTCAGTTCCGCGCACATTCGTTCAAAAAGAAAGCAAGCTATTCACGGATTGAGGGCGGGTGGTTTTCAAAATGCGGCTCTCGCCTTAGCGCGGCGAACACTCGTTTTAAAAAAGCCAGAGCTTCACGGATTGAATGGATGGTTTGCAAAATGTGGCTCTCGCCCCAGCGCGGCGCACATTAATTTAACACATTACAAGAGTTTCACGGATTGAGGGCGAGTGGTTTTTTAAACTGTGGCTCTCGCCTTAGCGCGGCGCACACTCGCTTTAAACATGTGGAAGAGCTTCGAACATTGAGGGCGGTTCCTTTGTAGAATGTGGCTCTCGCCTTAACGCCGCGTTCATTCGTTTGAAACATTTGCTGAAAGTTCACGGACTCCCGTCATCAGCGTACCAGAAGTGGTGATTTGGACGGATTCAGGATTATGCGGGTGCAACAGTTACGTTGATTCTCTGTGTTGAAGTTTAAGTCCTAGGAATGGCGTTCCTGCTCGACTCAGGATCGTTAAGACGCAACAATCAGGTTGATCCCGGGCGTCGGAATCCCGAGAATAATGTGTTCGCATGCTTCAAGGTCTTCAAACAGTTGCCTTCCAACGAAGCAGTTCACTTAATTACTGGAAATGAACGTTGTAGGGGCCTGTGAAGAGGGAGCTTGGAGGGAGGGTTTCTTCCAACATCGTTGACGACTCTTGGGCTTACACTGATCCTCCTCCTCATCATCATCATCATCATCTTCCTCCTCCTCCTCCTGCTCATCCTCCTGCGCCTCCTCCTCTTCCTCCTCCTCCGACTCCTCCTCCTCCTCCTGCTTCCTCCTCGTCCTCCTCCGCCTCCTCCTCCTGCTCATCCTCCTCCTCCTCCACCTCCGCCTCCTCCTCCTCCGCCTCCTCCGCCTCCTGCTCTTTCTCCTCTTCCTCTTCCTCCTCGGTCTCATCCTCCTAGTCCTCATCCAGCTCCTCCTCCCTTTCCTCCTCCTCCTCCTCCTCCTCCTCCTCCTCCGCCTCCGCCTCCTCCTCCTCCTCCTCCTCCTCCTCTGCCTCCTTCTCCGCCTCCTCCTCCTCCTCCTCATCGTCCTCCTCATCCTCCTCCTCCGCCTCCTCCTCCTTCGCCTCGTCCTCCTCCTCCTCCTCCTCCTCCTCCTCCTCCTCCGCCTCCCTCCGCCTCCGCCTCGCCTCCGCCCGCCTCCGCCTCCTCGCCTCCTCCTCCTCCGCCTCCTCCTCCGCCCCCTCCGCCTCCTCCTCCTTCTCCTCATTATCCTCCTCCTCTTCCTCGTCCTCCTCCTCGTCCTCCTCCTCATCATACTGCTCATCCAGCTGCTCCTCATTCTCCTCCCCCTCCTCATTCCCCTCCTCATCTTCCTCCTCATATTCCTCCTCCTCCTGCTCTTCCTCCTCCTTCTCCTCCTCCTTCTCCTGCCCCCCATCCTCCTCCTCGTCCTCCTCCTCCTCCTCCTACTACCCCTCTTCCTCTTCCTCCTCCTGCTCCTCCTGTTCCTTCCGTCCCCCTCCTTTTCACCTCCATCCATTTTCGCACAAAAGAATTCATCACTGTCGCTCCCCTAGGCGTGCCGGTACAGCAAGCAATGCGATTCGCCTTAGACGTCCTTACCACGTATGAAAAGTATGCCGAAACGGTGCAACAACGTCACGGGTGGTGGGCGGACACTTTCAAAATACATGAGCACCACGCGCACTAGTCTGAACACGATCAGCCCACGAACCCGGAAAGGGATTCAGAACTGCGATGCCTGGGAAAGTTCCACGCGTCTCAGTTGTGCGATGGGCAGTGGTACTGATGAAGATATCGAGGGTGATGCAACTGTGCCAGGGGCTGCTTTGTGCTTCTTTGCACTGTGCCGCGCCGCACAGCGACGTGCAAGGGGACGCGCCACGGAACGTGCCAGAGGACGTGCCAGGACGCGCCGCGCGATGTGCCAGAGGGACGCGCCACGGGACGCGCCACACAACGTGCCCGGGGGGCCCGCCTCCTTCTTCCTCCTTTCTCTTCATTTTCTCATCATGTTCCCTCCTCCTCCTCCTCCTCCTCCTCTTCCTCCTCGTCCTGGTCCTCGTCCTCCTCCTAGTCATTATCATTCCTCCGCTCTCCGCATCCTCCTCCGCACCCTCCTCCGCATCCTCCTCTTCCTCCTCCTCCTCCTCCTCCTCCTCCTCCTCCTCCTCCTCCTCCTCCTCCTTCCTCCTTCTTCCCTCATACGCCTTCCCTGCCCGATCCTCCTCCCTCCTCCGTCCTCCGTCCTCCCTCCTCCTCCTTCTCCTCCTCCTCCGCCTCCTCCTCCTCCTCCTCCTCCTCCTCCTCTTCCTCCTCCTCCTCCTCCTCCTCCTCCTCCCCCTCCTCCTCGTCATCGTCCTCCTCCTTCTCCTCCTCCTCCTCCTCCTCGTCATCCTACTGCGAGGCCCGTGGGGGAGGAGGTGCAGGAGGAGGAAAGGACGAGGACGAGGACGAGGAGGAGGAGGAGGAGGAGGAGGAGGCGGAGGGAAGAGAGGGAGGGAGGGAGGGAAGGAGGGAGAGGAGGAGAAGGAGGAGGAGGAGGCGAGGAAGTCCAGGCTGGGCGCAGCACTTGGGGAGAATGGCGGAAGGGAGGGAGACAGAGAGGGAGGAGGGAAAGAGCGAGCCGGAGGGAGAAGTCGGGAGGGAAGAGGGGGAGAGGAGGGAGGAGAGGAGGATGAGGAGGAGGGAGGAGGTGCCATGAGGAAGGAGGACGACAGAGGGAGGGAAGGGAGGGAGGGCAGCAGGAAGAAGGCGCGTGATAGCAGTGCTTCCGGCGGCGGCGCGCCCCTCGGCCGACCGCGGACAGGCCACGGGCCCGCGGGCCACGCCGTGTGAGATGGGCAAGCGTTGGCCTCCTCGTTCCTTCATACTCCTCCATCCTCCTCCTTCCTCCGTCCTCCTCCTTCCCTCATCCTCGTTCCTCCTCTTTCTCGTCAACCTCCTTCCCCCTCTCCTCCTCATGTGTTCTTTTTCTCCTCCTCCTCCTCCTCCTCCTCCTCCTCCTCCTCCGCCCGCCCGCCCGCCCGCCCGCCCGCCCTCCCTCCCTCCCTCCCTCCCTCCCTCCCTCCCACCCTCCCACCCTCCCTTCCTCCGTCCTCCTCCTCCTCCTCCTCCACCTCCTCCTCCTCCTCCTCCTCCTCTCTCCGCTTGATCGGACTCCTCCCAGTCGTCATCCTAATGAGACCCATCATCATCGTCATCGCAAGCATCACTAGCATCACTAGCATCCCCCTCCTACTCCACATCCTCTCTCTTCCTCCTCCTCCTCGCCCTCCTCCTCCTCCTCTTCCTCCTCCTCCTTCTCCTCCTCAGTCTCCTTCTCATTATCATCCTCCTCCCTCCCTCTCCTCTCGGCATCATCAGCATCATCATCACCACCACCACAATCACCACCACGGACCCTCCTCCTCCTCCTCCTCCTCCTCCTCCTCCTCCTCGTCCTCCTCCACCTCCTCCTCCTCCTCCTCCTACTCCTCCTCCTCCTCCTCCTCCTCATCCTCCTCCTTCTCATCCTCCTCCTTCTCATCATCATCATCATCATCATCATCAGCAGCAGCAGCAGCAGCAGCAGCAGCATCAACATCAACATCAACATCAGCATCAGCATCATCAGCATCGGCATCGACATCGGCATCGGCATCAGCATCGGCATCATCATAATCGCCATCATCATCGTAATCATCATCGTAATCATCATCATCCTTGCTACCTTCATCATAATCATCAGCATCAGCATCACCATCAACATCAGCAGTATCATCATCAGTGGCAGCATCAAACTCATCATCATCATCATCATCATCATCATCATCATCATCATCATCAGCATCAGCATCAGCATCAGCATCAGCAGCATCAGCATCATCATCATATTCATCGTCGTCACCACCACCATCATCATACCACCACCACCACCATCCTCATCATCATCACCATCATCAGCATCAGCATCATCATCGTCATCATCATCATCATCATAATAATAATAATAATAATCATAGTCATCATCATCACCCCAACCCTCATCCTGATCCTCGCCGTTCTCATCAATATCATTGGCATCCCCATGGTCACCATCATCATCATCATCATCAGCAGCATCAGCATCATCATCATCCTCATCATCAGCATCATCCTCATCATCATCATCATCAGCATCAGCATCATCATCATAATAATAATTTCTGCATCATCAGCAGCATCACCATCACTACCAGCATCATCAGCATAATAATCGTCGTCGTCATCATCATCATCATCATCATCATTAGCATCATCATCATCATCATCATCATCATCATCATCATCATCATCATCATCATCATCATCATCATCATCATCATCATCATCATCATCATCATCATCATCATCATCATCATCATCATCATCATCAGCATCATCATCAGCGTCGTCATCATCATCATCATCAGCTTCATCATCATGGTCATCGTCAGCATCATCAGCAGCAAAATCATCAGCAACATCGTCATCATTACCATCACCATCACCACCACAATCATCACTATCATCAGCATCAGCAGCATTATCATCACCATCATCAGCATCAGCATCATCATCAGCATCATCATCATCAGAATCAGCATCATCATAATCATAATCATCATAATCAGCATCATCATCAGCAGCATCTCCATCGTAATCATCACCACCAGCATCAGCATCATCATAATCCTCATCATCACCATCATCATCACCACCATCTGCATCATCATCATCATCATCATCATCATCATCATCATCATCTTTATCATCATCATTACCTTCATCATCATCATCATCGTCAGCTTCACCACCATGATTAGCAACCAACCACAAACACAATAATGACAACAACAGCAACAACAACATCATCAGCATAATCGGCGCTATCAACATCGTCACCATCAACATCATCGTCATCGTCATCGCTATCATCATTGTTGCCATCATCATCATCATCATCATCATCATCATCATTATCATCATCATCAGCGCCGTCATCATCATCAATCTCATCAGCATCATTACCATCATCACCATCACCAACATCATCATCAGCAACATCCTCATCAGCAACATCAACATCGCCATCGTCATCAACATGCTCGTCATCCTCAACATCACCATGATCACCACCACCAACAACCATCATCATCCAGTAGGCACCACCACCACCATCACCGCCATCACCACTACCATCATGCCCAGAGCTCCCACTGCCCCCTCCCTGAACTTGCTGAAGATGTCTACCTGCATCGCCGTGCCCCAGATCATGAGGACGTACGCCACGACCGTGTACGCCTGCGGAGCCAAGGCTCCCCGCGCAGCGGCTGAAGAGCCGGAGCGACGGAAAGCAGAAGCGCTCAGAATCGAATCGGGCCGCGTCGGCACGGAGTCGGAATCGAACCGGATCGGCCGCACCAGGGTGCACAGCAGGGCCCATACGGGCATCGGGCCTCATCGGATCGCTGGAATGGGTCGGCCGGCATCGATATCGAATCAGATCGATCGGCTCGAAATGGGCCCTGGAAGAAGGAGGGAGCAGGAAGCCACGGGCTGGATGCGCAGCCGCGGCGAGGAAACGAGGAGAAGGAGGAGGAGGACCAGTGTAAACCCAAGGGTCATCAACGATGTTGAATAAACCCTCTCTCCAAGCTCCCTCTTCACAGGCCCATTCAAGGGTTCATTTCCAATGAGGGAACTGCTTCGCTGGAGGAAAACCGTTTTAAGATCCTGACGCATGCCCAAACATCGTTCTCTGGATTCCAACGCCACGGATCAACCTGACTGTTGCGTCTTGACCATCCTGAATCGTGCCAGAACGCCATTCTTGGGACTTCAACACCACGAATCAACGTAACTGTTGCGCCCTCAGAATCCCGAATCCTTCCCAAACACCATTTCTGGTACGCTGCTGCTGGGAATATGTGAAACTCTTGCCGATGTTTAAAACGAATGTGCGCGGCGCTAAAGCGAGAGCCACATTTTGGAAAGGAACCGCCCTCAATCCGTGAAATTCTTACAATATTTAACAACGAATGGGCTCGGACCTAACGCGAGAACCACATTGAAAACGACCCGCCCTCAATCCGTGAAACTCCTGCAAAGTTATAAATCGAATGCGCGCGGAGCTACAGCGAGAGCCACATTTTGAAAACCACCCGCCCTCAATCCGTCTAACTCTTGCAAATTTCTGAATCGAATGCGCGCGGCGCTAAGGCGAGAGCCATATTTCGAAAACCACCCGCCCTCCATCTGCGAAGCTGTTGTCAAGTCTAGCATCGGGGTCGTGAATGGCGAGGAAGTCTCAGGCGAAACGCCTGGACCGCCTCAAAAACTTGCCTCGAGGTGCGACAAGGAGAACTCATCTAGCAGGAAAAGGAATGGAAGAGAGCAGGAGGACAGCAGGAGGCCGCGGGCTGAAGGGTGACTGAGCCGCCCCATCCCGCTGCAGCCCGAGGCCTGCACGTGCTTGAAGCACGGCCAGTAGGCAAAGTCCAGAGCCGCCTCTCGGCGGCGCGCCATTGGCGGGGGGAAGGAGGAGGGGGCAGGCCTTCTCCGAAGGCGGCGGGGCCTCTCAGAAGCCGGGGGGGAAGCGAGGAGGGGGCAGGCCTTCTCGGAAGAGGCCCCCCTGGCCCTCTGAGAGGCCGCCTCGGCCTCTGGGGAGAGAAAGCTGAGATGAAACTTCCCCAGGAGACCGGGGCATTTCGCTGAGCCCTCTGCCGAGCCTCGATGGTGTTATCGTAGCCGTTCTGGCGGAAGGACTGCATGCACACGTTCACCACGAGGTTCTGGCGGCGGAACGGGCGCCCCCCGGGGTGGGAAAGCGTTGGGCGCGAGCGCGGACGCGGCGCTCCCGCGAGCGAAGAGGGCGGGGATACTGTTTGCGTTCGTATGGACGCCAGTCTGAGTCGAGATAGCGGCAAATCGGGGCAACCGATCAGCGGCAAATACGGGCACACGCCCCGCACCAACCGTCCACCAATCACCCCCTGTTCGCCGCTAGTGGTCCGGCTTCGACAAAAACGAACCTAAGGGATACGATAAAAAACGTCTGCGATGCAGTTCAGACAATGGCAATCTAATACCATACCCCTAAAGCGAGGTCAAATAGGTCGCAGATAGCTTGGCAGAATCAATGAGCATCGAATCGAGCAATCGGAGCGAATCCTGGTGCGAGTCGGATCGGGCTGCATCGGCACGGGGTCGAGGTCGACCCGGACCTGCCGCGCCAGGATGCACAACGGCGCCACGCAGCATCGGACCGCATCGGATCGACGAAAGATCGAAATCGACTCGGATCGGGGCGGTCGAAATCGACATCGGATCGGACCGAAATTGGCCCTGCGGAGGAAGAAGGAGGGAAGGACATGTGAGCATCCAAGAGGGCGAACCCAGAAAGCCGAACTCAACTCGCTGGTACGGCCAACCAATGGGCAAGCAAGTCCCGTGAGACCCCAGCACCTCACCTGTTCGGGCGCTTCTCAAGGACGCGCGAGTCGATTGCTGCGAATGGTTGTGACCCTCGAAGGGCCTTTCCGCTGCTGCTGGCGGGCTCTCCACTTGACCTCGCACACGAAAAAACAGGCACACTCAACCAGTGCCGACTCCTTTGGCGACGGTGCGCGCCGAGTTTGCCAGAGGGCAGCGACTTGAGACAACGGCTGATCCCTCCCGGCCCAGACCCGCCCAAGATCGGTCCCAGGGCGCTCCCCCCCGGACCCGCTTTTTTCCAAGCCGGATCCAGCCGTGGCGACGAGAAGCCTCCAGGGAGGGCCTCCGAGTCGCTAACCCAGACATGTATTGTTTTGATGTGTTCTCTACGCGACCCCAAGAAATCTCCGGCCTTTCCACCTCCCGAGCCGTTCTTGACGGCCCTGGGGTCCGGCGAGAGGCCCCAGGGGAAGAAACAGACGAGAAACAGTCGCCTCGGTTTGTTTGTCCGATGGGCGTCTGGGAATTCAGGCGCCTCAGTCCATGTCTGGGGGGGGGGGATGGCAAACGGTGACCATGACCAAGTCTGAACGCGGAAACGTCGGTGCCGATCTTGGTCACTGTCCATCGTAGCGAACTGGCATCGGTCGGCAACGGTCGGCATAGAACATTATCAAACAGGATCAAGACCGGCGTCGACAAGATCCCGCGACGTCTTGGTCATGGTCGGAGTGCTTGTTCCCTCGACTGTCTGCGTGCCCCCGGCACGCCCGCCGGCAGAGCACGACTCCCCCCAGGAGCTTGTTTTTTCTATTCATGCAGATCCACATGGGGGTGGCGTCGACGGGGGGGGCGAAAGTTGAGCGCGCCGTCCGGCGCGAGATGATCTTTATCTTCCTCGGAGGGTGCCCATTGCGCGCGAGTTTTTCACCGTCGCGGTGCCCATGTTGCAGTTTGGTGATCGGGCGGGCTTCGTGACGGCCAGCTTCGTGCTCGGGCGAAGCGGACAGGTTTGGGGCGCGCGCGCATTAGCGTTCAGGAGCGGTCGTCTGGCATGGCCCTTGTCCTCGCGCGAAGTGATGCGCCATTAAGGTCGCGCTCTCGAATGATCCTTAGAATTGGCAGTGGATTGCATGGCTCATTTCCGAGGAGTCGCGCAGCGCGCCTAAATCTTGAAGGGTGCCACCTTCTTCAGCCACCTTCTTCAGCCACTACTTCAGCCACTACGGGTATGACTGCCACCCGAAAATAGACTATTTTCGGGTGGCAGTCATACCTGGGGGGGCGGAGGGGGGTTGCGGCCCGGGGTAACAGTAACGCCTGACAGCGTTTTGCGTTTCGCGCTAGCGGTCGTTATCTGCCCCGCCCGCCCCAGATAACATCACTATTCCTGCTGACCTCCGAGCTGGTGTGGATATTCCAAGACATTCCCAAATGGCGCTGGCGCGAAACGGGACGTTACCGGCCCCACGCCACTCTCCCCCCCCTGGTCACGCCCGTTATCGCTCAGGAATGAAACATGATCGACCTACGAACCCGGAAAGGGATTGAGAACTGCGAAGCATGGAACCGTTCCTAAGGACCTCAATTGCATATGCAACTGGGCGATGCCAGGGGGGCATGCCAGGGGGACGCGCCGCGGAACGTTCCAAGGGACGCACCAGAGGACCTGCCAGAGGACGTGCCATGGGGACACACCGCGGGACGTGCCAAAGGGACGCGCTACGGAACGTGCCAATGGACGTGCCACGGAACGTGCCAGGGGACGCGCCGCGCGACGTGCTAGGGGGATTCGCCACGGGACGCGCCAAGGAATGCGCAAGGGAACGTGCCAGGAGACGCGCCAGGGGACGTCGTCAGGGAACGTGCCACGGGACGTCCCTGACCCAAAGCCAAAATCCCTCGTAAATTACACTGCGGCCGCGCTCCCAGGGCCACGATCCATCGTAAATTATACTGCGTCCGCGCTCCCAGGACCACGATCCCTGGTAAATCAGACTGCGTCGCTCTCCCTAGGCGACGGTCCCTCGTAAACTACGCTGCGTCCGCGCTCCCAGGGCCACGCCCCCTGGTGAATTACTCTGCGTCCGCGCTCCCAGGGCCACGTTCCCCAGTATATTAGGCTGCGTCCTCCCCCCCAAGGGCCAGGACCCCTCGTAAATTACGCTGCGTCCGCGCTCCCAGGGCCACGATCCATTGTAACTTACACTGCGTCCGCGCTCCCAGGGCCACGATCCCTCACAAATTATACTGCGTCCGTTTTCCCTGGACCACGATCCATCCCAAGCTGCACTGCGTCCGCACTCCCAGGGCCGCGCTCCCTCGTGAATTACGCTGCGTCCGCGCTCCCAGGGCCACGTACCCCAGTAAATTACTCTGTATTCGGGATCCCAGAACCACCTGGGCATTCTGAGGCGCCCAGGCCGCTCAAGTTCTGCAAAACAAGCGTTTCGCTCGAGACATCTGCAGAGATTCGGCGCGCAGGGTGCGCCATCCTCGAGCAGGCAAGAAACAGTCTACTTGCTGGCAATCACTGGAAAATTTCGAGGCCTCCAAACCTCACGTGTCGCGCGGTCTGCGCAAAACGGTCCGCCCTCCTTGTTTTACAAGGGACCACGTGCGTCCGCGGACCCAGTTCTTGATCGAAGATCCGAGATACGGGGGCACACGTTCCTCGAGCGGTCGGACGCGTGCGAAAGACACACACACAAAACAAAATTACCCTGCGACGTACCCAACCCACGCGCATCAAATGGCAAGAGGAGTATGCCAACATTAGCAGGAACAACGACAGTGTAGACGCGGCGATTTGCTGCGCAAGCTACATGGGATGCGCATGCGCTGCACGATTCACAGGACGACGATCGAAAGAACGAGGCTTGAGGCCCCAGGATCGAAGAAGAACTGGCACGGGAACGAGGGGTAGGAGAGGGATGGAATGGAGGGCGGGGGGGGCGAAAGGCCATCGCGGAAGCAGCAGCATGCATGGAGAAGGTGAGGCGGGGAATAGGACGACGATGAAAGTGGCGGGAAGAGACAGAAGACTGCCGCGTTTTTCAAGCGCGAGCTAAACCCGCAGCGCTGCCTGCGCCATGTCGTCGCAGAGTTCCACCTGATAAAACTTGTTTAGAGTGCAAGGAACGAGCGAAGCGTAGCTCGCCCGCTAGCTTCTCCGCCTCCTTCCCGCACATTTCAGCGCGGGAGCTGAACGCTCGCAGGCGCGCCGCCAGGTCTGCGGGCGGCCCGCGGGAAAGAAACTCAAGGCCGGGGTCGCGTATCATCAATCGGTTGTCCATCGTCCAAAGTTGCACTGGCGACGTACTGGTTGAACGCGGAGCGAGCAGCATCACGCGCGTGCCTGAACGCCACGCAGGTACAGTGCACGCGCGATTGGGACTTCAGGTCGATCACGCGCGTCTCCACCAGGCTTGGCAACACCACGCGACTGAGGATCTCACTGCGGTCTGCCATGCTGCTGTCCGCGAATGCAATGCGCTGCCTGCAAGTAAGGCGGCGGCGTCCACTTGTCTCAGAAGATGTTCCCGCGGGCCCGAAGGGCGACCGCCAGCTCGAGCCGCGGCGCCGGCAGGCCAGATAAGGATCATGCAACAGCAAAGACGATGACAGAGCAACGAGGTATCGGCGAGTGCATGACCGGCCTCCGTTTCCTGCACTTCTTTCCTGTAGTTCCCCTAGCTCATCGAGCTCAGCAGATGTTTCTGCGGGTCCGAAGGACGACCGCCAGCTCGAGTCGCAGCGCCACGTGGCACGAACCGCAGAGCAAGGGCACGCGAGCATTGCTCGTGGTCAGAATATGAGTCCCCGTGGTGCCTCACTCCGCTGGCCACCCACCAGCAGCCCTCGAAAGTGGCGACAGTTTCACAGATCGCAGCCGCCCAGGGGTGGCGAGGTCTAATCTGAGTCCCCGTGGTGCCTCACTCCGCTGGACCCACCAGCAGCCTCGAAAGTGGCGACAGTTTCACACAGGGATGGCGAGGTCTAGTCTGAGTCCCCGTGGTGCCTCACTCCGCTGGACCCACCAGCAGCCCTCGAAAGTGGCGACAGTTTCACAGATCGCAGCCGCCCAGGGGTGGCGAGGTCTAATCTGAGTCCCCGTGGTGCCTCACTCCGCTGGACCCACCAGCAGCCCTCGAAAGAGGCGACAATTTCACAGATCGCAGCCCCCCCCAGGGATGGCGAGGTCTAATCTGAGTCCCCGCGGTGCCTCACTCCGCTGGACCCACCAGCAGCCCTCGAAAGTGGTGACACTTCCGCAGATCGCAGCCCGCCAGGGATGACGTGAAAGGCAAGAGAAGAGAAGAGGAGGAGCGAAGGGAGGAGGAGAAGGCAAGCAAGAGAGGAGAGGAGGAGGGAAAAGAGGGGGGGGGCGAGAGGAGGAGAACGGAGACCGCAGTGCTCTATTCAAAACGAGTACCCAACGCAGGAGGGTCGGGGGAACAAAAATTACCCTGCGACGTACCCAACCCATGTGCATCAAGTGGCAAGAGGAGTAGGCCAACATTGGCAGGAACAACGACAATGTAGACACGGTGATTTGTTGCGCAATCTACATGGGACGCGCATGCGTTGCACGACTCACAGGACGACGATCGAAAGAACGAGGATCCAGGCCCCAGGCTCGAAGAAGAACGGGGACGGGAACGAGGGGCAGGAGGAGGATGGAATGGGGGGGCGAAAGGCCATCGCGGCAGCAGCAGCATGCATGGAGCAGGCGAAGCGGGGAATAGGACGACAATGAAGGTGGCGGGAGGAGACAGAAAAGCGCCGCGTTTTCAGGTACACGCTAAACACTGAGCGCTGCCTGCGCCATGTCGTCGCAGCGTTCCACAGGCTCAAACCTGCTTATAGTAAGTGCAAGAAGCGAGCGAGACTTAGCTCGCCCGCTAGCTTCTCCGCCTCACCCCTGCACATTTAGTGCGGGAGCTGAACGTTCGCAGGCGCGCCGCCAGGTCTGCGGGCGGCCCGCGGGAAATGACACATTTTCACAGATCGCAGCCCTCCAGGGATGGCGAAGTCTAATCTGAATCCCCGTATGACGTCACTCCGCTGGCCACCCCAGCACCCCTCGAAAGTGGCGACAGGTTCGCAGATCGCAGCCCCCCAGAGATGGCGAGGTCTAATCTGAGTCCCCGTGGGGCGTCACTCCGCTGGCCACCCCAGCAGCCCTCGAAAGTGGCGACAGTTTCACAGATCGCAGCCCCCCAGGGATGGCGAGGTCTAATCTGAGTCCCCGTAGGGCGTCACTCCGCTGGCCACCCCAGCAGCCCTCGAAGGTGGCGACAGTTTCACAGATCGCAGCCCCCCAGAGATGGCGACGTCTAATCTGAGTCCCCGTGGTGCCTCACTCCGCTGGACCCACAAGCAGCCCTCGAAAGCGGCGACAGTTTCACAGATCGCAGCCCCCCCCCAGGGATGGCGAGGTCTAATCTGAATCCCCGTGGTGCCTCACTCCGCTGGACCCACCAGCAACCCTCGAAAGTGACGACAGTTCCACAGATCGCAGCCCCCCCCCCCAGGGACGGCGAGGTCTAATCTGAATCCCCGTGGTGCCTCACTCCGCTGGACCCACCAGCAGCCCTCGAAAGTGGCGACAGTTTCACAGATCGCAGCCCCCCCCCCCAGGGATGGCGAGGTCTAATCTGAATCCCCGTGGTGCCTCACTCCGCTGGACCCACCAGCAGCCCCCGAAAGTGGTGACAACTCCGCAGATCGCAGCCCCCCAGAGATGACGTAAAAGGCAAGAGAAGAGAAGAGAGGAGGAGAAGGCAAGCAAGAGAGGAGAGGAGGAGGGAAGAGAGGGGGGGGCGGAAGGAAGGAAGGTGGAGACCGCAGTGCTCTATTCAAAACGAGTACTCAACGCAGGAGGGTTGGAGGAAAAAAAAAAAAAAAAAAAAAAAAAAAAAAAAACGTACGCATCGCAAATACTTCCCGCCGACCCGCTTCAAGTCGAGGCCAGGGGTAGACTTCTAACAGAACACCCTGGGCCCGGGCCCCTTCTGGGAAAAAGTTCTCTCGGGCGGAGGGGGGCGCGCCAGGGTGGGGGGTGCGCTGCGACCGCCGTAGTGTGCTCGCGGCCACCATGATGTGAGGGCGGGTCCGGCCCCCCCTCCCCCGTACGTACGATCGTTATCGTTACCCAAGGGGGGGAGGGTTTGGCCCGGGTTCCGACTGCTACGCGCCAGGGAAGACAAAAAAATATTCGGCCTCGGCCACGTCCGAGCGCGCACACAGCAAAGGCCCCAGGAAATCGGCGGGGGCCCAGCCAGGCCCCAACCCGCACCGCCTGCGCAAGAACTCACGGGCACCGACTCCAGTCGGAATAGTGTCTTCGCCAAAGATAACGTCTTCATGCGCCTTTCCGTCTTCGCGCGCAGTTGCGTCTTCAATTGGGATAGCGTCTTCAAGCGCATGTGCAACTGCCCCGTCTAGTTGTGCGATTGCGCCTTCAAATGGAATAGCGCCTTCGCCCACCCTATCGCACTCAGCCAATTGCGTCTTCGAATGGCGTCGTCGTCTTCGACCAAACAGGCACACCCCCGTTGCCACCACAATGCATGCATGCAGGCATGCACACCTACGTAGATACATGGACACACACACACATGTACATGCATACGTACATACAAGCATACGCACATGCATACCCAACTACATACCTACCCATCAGCAGACATACATGCATACATAAATGCTCGCATGCATACATACACATTTCCATACATGCATACATACATACATACACATGTACGTGCATACATACATACATACATGCATACATACATACATGCATGCATGCATGCATACATACATATATACATACAGGCATGCATACATGCATACATACTTTCAGATATACGTACGCACACGCATACTCACTTACATACGTACATACATACACACGAACATGCATGCATACACACACGCACATACGTACAGACATGCATACACACATGCACAGATGCATACAGTCATACATACATTCATGCATACATACATACATCCATACATGCATACGTACGTGTACCCACACACCTGTGTACATCCGTACTTGTATAGACATATGGACGATAACCATACATGCACATGTCTACATGCATGCAAACATGCACGCATGCATGCATACACACACACACATCCATGCATACATACATGCATGCAGGCGTGCATGCCAATCATACAGACATGCATATTTACATGCATACATACACGTAAACATACACGCATGCATACATATATACAGATATGCATACGTACATACATATACCTGAATGCACGCAAACCATGCATGCATGCATACACACATACATACATACATACATACATACATACATACATACATACATACATACATACACACACATACATACGTACATGTGTACATCCACACATGCATACGTACGTACCTACATGCACGCGTGCATGCATGCGCGCATGCATGCAGAGACACACGCGTACATTCACCCAGTCATCACTTCACGCATGACTGCATGCATGCATACACGCATGTTTACATACATACATACATGCATACATACATACATACGTACGTACGTACATACATACATACATACATACATGACACCGGCATGCATGCATGCATACATGCATACCTACATACATGCAAACACACATACATGCACACATAGATACATTCATTGCCTATATCTACATGCATGCATACGCACCTTCATACATACATATGCATATATACATGCATACACAACTACATCCACACAAACATACAAACATGCATACATACATGCATGCATGCATACATCCATACATATTTAATATATACATAGATACATACGTACGTACGTACGTACATACATACAGACATATATGCACATGAATGCATGCATGCATGCATGCATGCGTGCATACAGACATACAGACATACAGACATACAGACATACAGACATACAGACATACAGACATACAGACATACAGACATACAGACATACAGACATACAGACATACAGACATACATAC